TACAAATAATTCCCGCCTACAGAAATTCGAATGGTTGGGGAGGGGGCGAGGTCGGGGTTAGAACGCTTGGTTGAGTGAGCGCATCAGACGAGGCGACGAAGAAGAAGTGCTGCTGAAGAAGAGCTGCTGTGCTGTAGCCTCAAATTTTCGGCATGTCTAGAACAATTCTTACAAGTATAACACGACGTAGCTGGGCGTGATGCCGAACGGCGCCGCCGGTGTGCTACATTCATAGAAAATAATGTATTTGAATTTTAAAGACGTGGCGCGATGCTGCGCTTCTCGTCCGGTGCGCGACCGCCTGAAACGCTGTTTTTTTCACCTCCGTGCCCAAACGTCTTTGTTTGGGCTTCCGAAAGCGGATGATGTCAGGAAACAGTGGTTGCAATTTATTTTTTAACTCTGTTCCGGAGCATTATAACACCAATTTGCTATTGTGTGCTGCACATTTGACTGAGGACAGCTTCCACAACATGAGGGAGTACAGTGCCGGATTCGCCAAAAGCTTTTGTTGAAAGACTGAGCAAGAGGCGTGGCAGTACTGAAACACCGTCTAAACTGTTCGCCTATCACAACGCACTGGGACAGCTAACCAATCACAACACATTTAGTTTTTCGGAAGGCGGGCCTTCATCAAACTAATCGGGCCGTTTGTGCCAGCCTGGGGAGAAAGGTATTTTAATAATGTAAATTATGTGAAAAATAATGCATTTTTCGAACCACCAAGCATGAGAGCATGTTCTAGTACACCCCCAAAACAAAATCAAGACTTTGTAAAAGAGCATAATAGGACCCCTTTAAGAATAATTAGATATCTGTGCTGGAAAAGACAAAGACAAAACTACGGAGTAAGAAAATCTTTGTTTTTTTTGCAGTGAATGAAACAAAACATTGGAAATGTATTTATTTTTTTGCCTCAATATTACATACTGTATGCAAAGTGGAGTTTTATACATCTGCTTTTTATCTGACCAATAAATTGCAACGTTTAGGCATTTCCAAACCCTTCAGACCTTCATTTCCCCCTCCTGTATCAGAACAGAGTCACTTTGCTCAACAGGCTCCTTCTTAATGGAGGAACCGTCCGAAATATCTTCAAAGCGAGCTCTCGGCAGCCCCACAGAGGCTTGAAAGTCGGCATTTTCCCAGACGGTTTGCTCAAGAGTAAATGAAGGTAGTTGTGCAGGATCCAGAGCCAAAGCTGCGTCCTCAGCCTCCTCCGCCATTAGACAGAGCTCCCCCAAAACCTCTCCCTCTCCCACAGCCGGGCTTCCCTCCGTTTCCCGACCGGAACGTGTTTTTGTGCAGACGCCCGTCTTTTTTTCCACAGGACCCTCCTTCACCTCATTAGCCTGTCTCCCAATCTCTGTCCCGCACAAGACGCTCTCCTCCCCGATGTCAGGGGTGACAGGTGTGTCCTCCTTCTCTCCGCCTCCATCTGGACGCCACATGTTCGGGAAGCTGTCATCGCCAGCTGTGTCCTGTTCCCATGGCGACGGCCCTCCTCTTCCTGTCCTGTCATCTGAGCCAATCAGGGGACAGAGAAGATGAATGGTCACTGTGTTAGAGTCATGCTAACAGCTAATGTGTGATTCACCACCGCAGTGAAGCTCAGTTAACAATTCATACTAAGGTGAGTTTGCCGAGCCAAAGGCAGAATTCTGAGAAGATCACAGCGGTTCAATCACTTTTTAGTGGTGCCTGTTTATGCAGTGGTTCTCAACTTTTACTTTTTCAATATTCTGAGACTAGATATTTCTGGTACTTCTGCTGGAAAGACAAAGCTTGTTTACAGGAACTAGGAGTGCTAATGTAATGAATTAAGAGAAAATAAATGTAAATATAATTACATTTTGCAATTCCGTAAGTTTGATGATACTATACGTGTTCATACTTTTCTTTCAAAAATATCAATCTCTTACCTGATGAAACATTTCAAAGCTTTTCATACTAAGACAAATGTATGGAAGCTTTTTTAACAAACAAAGATGGAAAAAAAGAAAGAAAGAAAGAAAGAAAGACAAGGTAATTGCGACTTTTTTCTCCCAGTTCAGTTTATATCTCCCAATTCTGATTTTTTTTTTTTTTCCAGAATCGCAAGATATAAAGTCAGAATTATAAGATATAAACAGGCAATTCTACGAAGAGAAGTCTGAATTGTGAGATATCAACTTGCTATTGTGAGCAGGGATGGATTATGACACAGCAGTGCCCTGGGCACGGACCGATTAAAGGCCCCCCTCGGTTGAAATTTAGTTCCTTTTTTATTCGAAATTTTCCCAAACTTGTTAACTACATCATAAAATATCACGATTCTCAAATATAAGTAAAAGCATTTTGCACCTTTATAGATCATGTTTACATGGGAAAAGCAGCCTAATATTAGTGTAATCTATTAACTAGCCTATGCATAAAACCCGTCTTTTAACTTGTACTAGATATGGGTGTCGTGTCATAATATTTTTAATACGACTGACTTTGTATTTAACGTAAATTTAATAAAAACATTGTAAGTTACTAATTATAACGCTTTCATTGTACATAAAGAGAGCAAAGAATATTTGCATTATCAAAGAATATTAACTTCAGTCTAGACAGAGTTCAAGCACTCTCAACAACTCCCATTATAATCACTGAAGCGGTTTATACTGTGAAGTGAATATCGTACACACATCTGCACTTTGTTTATGATGAGAGCATTCGCCAGAGAGCAGCATTCAGTCAGCGAGCGCGCACACTGAACGAAACAGCGAGGACTCATCTGAATGCCTCTGATTGGCCATTGCATTCATAAGCTCAACAGAATCCTGTGTGATTGGTTAGAATGCGCAGCACTGTAAAAACGCGTCTGGCTCAGCGCCAGCCAAAGCACGAATGCAGATTTTAATTTGGCAGCTGATTCTGTGCCGCACTGAACGTTCTAATCGTATCAAATATAATAAATATATATTATTCAGCCATTTTTGGTCTTTTGGAAGCTGCATTCAAAATCCACTGAGGGGGCACGGTCTGAATTGTGAGATTAAAAAGTTGCAATTACCTTTTTTATTTCATGGTGGAAACAAATAAAACAGAATTACAAGGAACAAAGTCAGTTGTTTTTTTGAGCGTTTATATCTCGCAATTCTTAGCTTTTTTTGAGTTTATATCTCGGAATTGCTAGAAAAAAAGTTTCATTATAAAATGAAAAGTCACAATTACCTTTTTTATTCTGTGGTGGAAATGGGCTGCCATAAAATGTATATTTATTATACCTCTAATCTCAGTAAGTATTACTCTGAGCCTAAACGTAATACTTATATAGATATATATAAATAGATTATAAAACGGGTGGGAAAAAAACACACTACCGATCAAATGTTTAAAATATTTCTGATATTTTATGATGAGTTTTATGATTTTTTGTCTGTTTTAATGATGTATTTATTTGACTAACAATACACTAAAAAAGTAATACCGTGAAATATTATTACAATTTAAAATAACTTATTTTCTATTGTAATATATTTTAAAATGTCATTTATTCCTGTGATGAAAAGCTGAATTTTCAGCATCATTACTCCAGTCTTCAAAGATACAATAAATCAATGCTTTATTTTTTTTCAGGATTGTTTGATGATTAGAAAGTTTTGTAACACTATAAATTTTACTGTCACTTTTGATCAATTTATTGCATCTTTGCTGAATAAAAGTATTAATAATTAAGTAAAGAAATGTTTCTCAAGCAGCATATTAGAATGATTTCTAGAAATGATTTTCTAATTCTAAACTAATTTTAATCTACAATAAATTATTAATTATCATCCTTATACATTTACACAGAAGGCACACATATTGACAAAGCATGTATCTGGAACATTAAAAGTCCCCTGAAATGCTTAGAAACAGGCAGTGTTACTCTATGTGTTGACGTCATTTTAACTGAAACAGGAAGACAGGGCGGGACATATCAAGCAGCCCCGCCCCTTTTTAAAATAGCCAATAGCGTTCGTTTATATCACAGCTTGGGCTAGAGCCGTTGAGCTCCGTAACGCCGCATTTGACAGGTTATACAAGCCACAATCTCATCCATATTGCTATAAAATATAGCATTCTGAGTATGAATTCAAATAGCTCAAACATTTTGTGGTCTGCGCCGACTCGTGCGTGTGATCTGCTCCGTGCTATCGTGTCTCTGGACCGGAGCAGAGTGTGTATTTTGGCATGTTTTCCAATACAGATATCTAGTGCTGGGCGGTATGACCAAACATTTATATCATGGTATTTTCCCAAATGATACCGGTTTCACGGTACGACGGTATTTTTTTGTCATGCATGAGCGGGTGTTAACTATATTTTCTACTGATTGAGAGGAAATACTGCAGTGTATTGAGTTAGAATGCACTATTTTACTGTCACGATGAGTGAATATTGTCAAAAGATACCACACTAAATAGTGACTAAACAAGACCCCTTTTAATACATGTTAACCAGGAGTCACTCTCATTTATAATCGCAGCATCGTCTGATAAAATCAACATGCATCTACACTAAAGAGCGGTTATGTGGTTGTTTTGGCTAGATTACTTTTTTGTCTCATGCAGCGCACTGCCTGCGTCTGAGTAACAAACTAAAAACAACAACAAACAAAAAAGTGCATGTGATATTAAAAGACGAACTACGCTCATATTTATAATTCCAAACAATCAGTAAGCGACAGGTGCTAGGAAACGCTGTTTTGTACTCATTTATTGAGGAGTCGGCTGCGGTGCTTCTCTGCCGCTCACTGCACAGAACAGATGCCGAGAGAGGCGACACTTCTCCGGGAAAGTCAGACCTCGCGCTCGCGGGACAGCACTGGCGAAATCTTCCAACTGAACCATAGCTAAGGTTTATCCAAAAAAGTCGCTAGGTTTGTCAGTATGAATATTCTATGGGAAAAAAGCCGCTAAAAGGGTATGAAAGGTGCTAAATCTAGTGCTAAAGTCGTGCTCGTGTGCGTGAGACGTGGGAGCTGATAGCAGGGGGCGGTGGATATTTGTGGCGGTTAATGTGGATGTTGTGGATGAGTTCTTCTGTGTCATCACGTTCTATTAGTTCTACAGCTTCAGTTTC